TCCTTTTCTCATTATTATGTAACTGTTTAGGGGTTGTAATAGTTAGATTTACTTTCTGCACTTTTCTGTTATGTAACTGCTCCAAGGCCATGTAATAGCGTATGAATTTTATTTTTCTGCATTTTACTTTTCTTGCTATTATTTTACTATATTGCTGTTAGTAATTAGGGTTGGTATGAAAAGACTAAAATGAATCATTAGAAAATCCTAATTGCAAAGATAAAATAATTGAATACAAATCACTTGCACACTTACACCTCTAGGATAACCTCTCTTGTTGCCTTCGGAAAATAAACAATCATGTCCCTCGAAAGTGGGGACGCTTTAGCAAAGTCTCTCGAAATCAAAGATCATAGTATCTCGATGACCCTTCAACGTTGCCTTTTGGTAAATGATTTAGTACCTTACGAAAAATTGCTAAAGCGTCCTTACTAGTTGCCTTGGATGACTATACGATGACCCTTGTATGTCCCTTCACATCCAACGATAGGGCTTCCTACTAAATAATGGTAGGATAACACTATCTAAAGGAGGAGGAAAGTAACAAGAACGACCTTGAGTGGGTAGGATACTTTTACTCGCTTGCTCATAAATTTTCCTAAACAAAACATTTTCACACATTACTTTCAAAAATATTTTCTAAAACACTTTATACATGTTCTTGAGGAATGATACAAGAACCATTACAAAGTTCGCCTTACATTGGCATTTTCAAAACGCACAACACAAAGAAATTTTCAAAAGGTGAGCTAAGCGATTAAGAGCCCGTAGATAACTACGGATGAAAATGGTGCTAACACCTCCATTTTCATAACCTACCCCCCGAACTTAAAATCTTAAAAGGTCTTTCCTGTTCTTTTCACCCTTTTCTTATTGGATAAAAGAAAAGTTTGTCGCTACTCTAGCTATCCGCATATTTGTGATAAAATGTAAAACAAGTCAGTTCTCCCACCGTATTACACCCATAAATAGTTTTGTTTAGAAAACAATTGGAGTACTGCCTGACTGATATGAATTATATTCAAGCCTGCATTTTATCTGAATTTATTTTCTTCATTATTTACTTTCCTGTGCACTCAAAATACTTATTTGATTTGCCTTAGATAAACATTGTAACAATAGTAATCGATAGATTGACAATTGGTCTCTATGAGAACGATAATCTTTTGTATTACTTTGACGTTTTCCGTATACCTGCGCATAGCATCCATTAGGTGTTTCGATAGGTGAGATTGAGGGAGAATGAGAGAGAATCACCACAATTATCGAGATCCTTGTGAAAAATTAGGAGGGGTTTGTGTGTAATTCATGATGTTTGGAGGTAGTCCGGCGAAGCTCCGCCATCGGCCACCGCCATCCTCGCTGAAAAACGGGGAAAAGGAAAACGAGAGAAGAGTTGAGGTGAGAGTTTGAGTTTTTAGGTTATGAATTGTGAACTTTTTTATGTTTTATTTGTTGGTGGTTGTGGTGACAATGACAAGTGTCGCCTCCGTTGGGACACTTGTCACCAAGTAGTAGGTGAAGACCAACGATGAGATCCCACGCATGCGCCTACAATCCCTTATCGTGTTCCCTTGCGCTCATCACCATCAGATCATAGTCAATACTTTGATCAAATGATCTCAACGTACCAGATTTTCTTCTGGAGTCAACCTGTGAACTGCAAGACCATGGACACCCACCATTTTCCAGGATGTACCTTCCAGCTTCTGGGCCTAGAGGAATTTCAGATATCACACCCCAGAATTATTTCATTTCTGGCCCATTTACCTTTTTTTCTTTCTATTTTTTTAATTATTATTTTGTTTTTTTTTATTATTTAGTTAATTGTTTATATATATATATATATATATATATATATATATATATATATATATATATATATATATATATATATATATATATATATATATATATATATATATATATATATATATATATATATATATATATATATATATATATATATATATATATATATATATATATATATATATATATATATATATATATATATATATATATATATATATATATATATATGTGTGTGTGTGTTTTTTTTATATTTAATATAAATAATTAATTATTAATTAGTTTTATTAAAAAAAATTATTTAATTTAATGAATTGTCTTATTTGTTTATATGGTTTAAATTTGATTGTGTGTTTGAACTATTTAAATTGTGTTTGTTTGTGTGGTTCTCTTGGTTGATCTCATCCTCATTTAAAAAGTTGTATCCCATCTCCACGTGATGTAATAATTTCAACCATTTTTTTTATTGTTCTTTTTGTTTTATTATTAATATATCATCAAGCATCTCATGCATTAAGTCTTTTCAAAGAACTAATACTCGATTGTGAGTCACTTTCCACCATAAGTCGATCGCTTTAAAGCATCGCAATCAACTACACATAGTTTACTCTTTGGCTTTCTTACAATGAGTCCTTGTGGCGCACACACACACTAAATATCTTACTCTTGGGTTTCTTACAATGATGCATGCATTATCATTTCATTGATCATAAATATATTTGTGTGTTTTCCACCTTGTATGGGCTTGTGTGTAGTTTGTTTATCATCATCCCCATTCAACAAATGTATCCCCATATTTTGGACTTGTAATAGCTTAATAGTTTGCTTTGCTTTTATTCACTTGTCCACCATTTCACACATGAAATAAAATCAATCAAACCCCCTCATACTTGGTCCATATACCAAGTCATGTCTAAAACTATATAAGTCGATTGCCTTGTGCTTCGTATTCAACCAACCCAAAGCACCTTGATCCACTTATCAAGTCATATCCCAATCATATAACTTGGTGTTTTGCATCGCATTCGACCTTTCTCGTCTATCTTAAAACACTTTCATAATCAAATTCTCAAAACCTCGATCCAACGTCGAGTTTCTTTTCAAAACCTTTTCTTAATAAAACATAGGAAAGATGGTCGGGACGATTGTATCACATCTTTCTCAAGTATTTGAGTTGTTGGTTGTCTTAACTTGCGACCCCAATATTTAATTTCCTTAAATGAATCTTGTTTCACCTCACACTTTTGATTTAATAAAAAACCTTTTTGATATGACATCATTCACAAAAACAAAATGGTATGTGTGAATGATGTCTTTCATTCTATCAGATCATTGGTTATATATAAGAGCAACATTAATTGTTTTCTACAATTTCTTCTGTTTATTGATTGCCACCGTCAATTTACAATTCCTACTGATATTCCTATTTACCAGTATATTAATCAAAACTTGCTTAATTTTGTCTAATACTATCCCACTGTAGAAAGCAAATGTGACACAACGTAGGCAGCAGAAAATGAAAATATTTCGTATCATTGACTGGCAAATAAATAACACGATTTCATAGTTATGTATTGTAGATATAACTAAGCGTAGAATTTTGACTATTTTACCTATCATTTTTCATTTCAAAAATAAAACAATCATGATAGATAAAATATAGATTTTGTCAATGATAAGGAAAGGGGATTAAATATAAGTTGCTCCCTTATTAATATGACTAGTATTGATTTCACTTTTATAAAATAAAGATTTTATTTACAATATCTCTTATGTCATTATTTGGTTGATTGAACCTGTTTTATTTTGTTATTTGACGGATTAGGTGTGAAAATTTTGTTAGAGTTGGATTGAGAATTTTGTTGAATTGAATTGTTTTTGTTTAAATCAGAAATCTTAACAATGAAACCAGTGATTGTATCAAAACAAAATCAGAATTGACTGGTTATATGTTATTTGACTGATTAGGTGTGAAAATTCTGTTGAGTTGGATGGAGAATTTTGTTGAATTGAATTGTTTTTGTTTAAATCAGAAATCTTAACAATGAAACCAATGGTTGCATCAAAACAAAATCAGAATTGACTGGTTATATTTTATTAAACAATGAGTGCATCAAAACATATAATATCTATTTTTTTATTAGTAACATTTCTATTACATCAAAACATTTCTTTTACTAGTAAGTTGTAAGTGCTATTGTCTCAAAACATATGTTGCATCAAAACATGTAAAATGAAAATTATTATTTAATTATTATTAATATACTTTTTTTTAAAAGTGATGCACAATATAAAATAGTTTTACACCGTCAACCAATCACAACTATTTATTTAATTATATTTTATTTTTGTTTTAATATTTTTAATGACATGGTAAATTGTTAACTTTCTATTAATTGATTGTGTAAAAAAATTTACATTAATAGTGTATAAAAATTACTCTATATTTTAATATATTTTATTGAAACATTATTTAGAAAATTATATAATACGATTTTTTTTATTTTGAAAAGAAAGTATTTTTTTACAAAAATTTAAAAATACATTTTTTTAAAAACTTTAGGGAAAGAATATTTTTCTAAAAAAAAATTAATTATTATGCATTATCAGTGTAAAATTATGTATACAGTACATCACAACTATTCACAAAAGTTATTTTATAAATAATTAAAATAAAAGTTAATTTTCAATAAATATTTAATGGTCATGATTTATTGACAGTATAAAATTACTTTACACCGTCAGTGCATACTAATTAAATTTTTTATTATTAAAAAAAAAGTTTTTTTTTTGAAAAATTAAAAATACGATTTGTTAAAAAAAATTTAGAAAATAATATTTTTATGAAAAAATATCTTTAAATTTTTTAATATAAACTAATGGATATATCATTTTTTTAATATGATTATAAATCAGTTAATATTGTCTAAACTTTCATTGTATACAAACTTGAACAATCATTATTTAATGAAATGCAATCAGTCAACTTAACATGACTCTCCCATCAGCAAAACAGTGACATTTAATAATTAAGTGAATTTCATTTTGTTGTTCAACGAAATAGCCTAGAAATTCAGATCTTCATTTCACAATATTTTTCATTATATTTATTAACAATCAAAGTTTTTCTCTTTCTATTTATTAACAATCAAAGTTTCATTCAATAACTAGCTAGCTCTCAAACACTCATGGCATCAATTATTCCTCCTCTATCTTTTACACCTAAAAACCCTCAACAAAACCACGATGTTTTCCTCAGTTTCAGAGGCGAGGACACTCGCTACACTTTCACTAGCCATCTATATGCCGCGTTAACAAGACTTCAAATCAAAACTTACATGGACAACGAGCTTGAAAGAGGCGATGAAATATCAACTTCACTTCTCAAGGCAATCAATCATGCAAAATTATCAATAATCATCTTCTCAAAAAACTATGCTTCTTCTAGATGGTGTTTGGAAGAGCTTGTGAAAATATTGGAATGCAAGAAAAATGATGGTCAAATTTTAGTGCCGATTTTCTACCATGTTAACCCAACACATGTGAGGAATCAAACGGGAAGCTATGGAGTTGCTTTGGCAAAGCATGAAAAACGTAGGGACATGGATAATGTTCAAACATGGCGGCTAGGTTTGACAGAAGCTGCCAATTTCTCTGGCTGGGATTGCTTGGGCACAAGGTAATATTAATATTGACCTAACCTAACCACAAATTGTCTAGCACACAAACAAACCGTTTTAAATTTTTAGAGGCACTGCGTAGATTAATTACTGTTAAACCAAATGATTTTGGATGCTATGCAGTGTCTTTTCTTGCACATATTTAAAGATGACTCTGATCTCACACAATATTAATTGATAAAATGAATAGGAATGAGTCTGAACTAGTGGAACAAATCGCAAAGGACATATTACAAAAGTTGGACTCAATAACAAGCAGGGGATTAGAAAGACGCATCAACACATACACGCAAATCGCACAACAAAAACTAGAGAAATCCCTCCAAACAGACAATCTTGCGGACATGGAAGAATTGATTACAACATTGTACCAACTCGCAGAATTAAAATTGGAGAAAGCATCAAGTTTAAATGATTCAAGTGTTTGGGGTGATGTTATGGCGACACATGAACATATCTTGCAGCTTAAACAAGAAAAATGGATGCGTACACATAGTGCAAATGATTTGGAGTCTGAACTAGTGGAACAAATCGCAATGGACATGTTACAAAAGTTAGACTCAATGACAAGCAGGGGATTAGAAAGACGCATCAACACATACACGCAAATCGCACAACAAAAACTCGAGAAATCCCTCCGAACAGGCCTTGCGGACATGGAAGAATTGATTACAACATTGTACCAACTCGCAGAATTAAAATTGGAGAAAGCATCAAGTTTAAATGATTCAAGTGTTTGGGGTGATGTTATGGCGACACATGAACATATCTTGCAGCTTAAACAAGAAAAATGGATGCGTACACATAGTGCAAATGATTTGGAGTATGAACTAGTGGAACAAATCGCAATGGACATGTTACAAAAGTTAGACTCAATGACAAGCAGGGGATTAGAAAGACGCATCAACACATACACGCAAATCGCACAACAAAAACTCGAGAAATCCCTCCGAACAGGCCTTGCGGACATGGAAGAATTGATTACAACATTGTACCAACTCGCAGAATTAAAATTGGAGAAAGCATCAAGTTTAAATGATTCAAGTGTTTGGGGTGATGTTATGGCGACACATGAACATATCTTGCAGCTTAAACAAGAAAAATGGATGCGTACACATAGTGCAAATGATTTGGAGTCTGAACTAGTGGAACAAATCGCAATGGACATGTTACAAAAGTTAGACTCAATGACAAGCAGGGGATTAGAAAGACGCATCAACACATACACGCAAATCGCACAACAAAAACTCGAGAAATCCCTCCGAACAGGCAATCTTGCGGACATGGAAGAATTGATTACAACATTGTACCAACTCGCAGAATTAAAATTGGAGAAAGCATCAAGTTTAAATGATTCAAGTGTTTGGGGTGATGTTATGGCGACACATGAACATATCTTGCAGCTTAAACAAGACAAATGGATGCGTACACATAGTGCAAATGATTTGGAGGATTTAAAGGATGCAAGGAATCATGTGTTGCATATTCAGAGGGAGCAGTTCAATAGGAAGATGCAGTTTCGTCTTATTTTGTTAGAAATCCACCAAATATCTATGATGAATTTCTATCAATCTTGATGAACAAGATTGATATCACCACACAATGACAATGAATTATGAGAAAAGAAAAGAAAAGAAAGAAGACAATTTTTTCTGCAAAGTTTTTCTCTGCCCACAAACTGTGGAAAACTTTAATAATCACTTGCAATTGCAAATTCTGTGATTACAATGAATTGACTTCATTATAAAATTAGGGATTACTCCCTCTATTTATAGATTTAGGTTAGCTTGCTCCCTAAACCAAAGCCCAAAACTATAAAAGCCCAAAATACATATTTTGATACTAAATCAAATCTATCTATTTTAGATCTAAATCTAAATCTAAATCTAAAACCAATCAAATGTGTGTGTAGCTTGCTTCGATCCACAAGCTCTTCGACTGGGCAACCTCCCTTCGACACACACACACTGTTTCAACACAATCGAATTACAATTTAACACACCACCTAATTCATTGTGTCTAAACTATCTATATTCATCATGGCTCTTAGTCTTCTGAATACTTCGGCTTGCACTCCCTTTGTCATGATGTCTGCAATCTGATTCTCAGTTCTACAGTGTTCCAAATTCATCTTCTCATCTGCTACCTGCTCTCGAAGATAATGGAACCTCATTTCGATGTGCTTGCTTCGACCATGTGCTATCGGGTTCTTCGCCAGATTGATAGCTGACATGCGGTCGATCTTCATGGTAATTTCTCCATGATCTTTCTCTGTTATCTCTTCGACCAAGTTCACCATCCAAGTTGCTTGACATGCACAAAGAGAAGCAACTATGTATTCTGCTTCGCATGATGATAATATCACTACTGGTTCCTTTCTTGAACTCCAAACAACCGGTGCACCATCTAACATAAACACATATCCTGCTGTTGATTTTCGATCTTCAACATCACTATACCAACTCGAATCATTGTATCCTACAAACTTGCATTCTTTTCCTTTATTAGTTGCAGGAAACAAAATGTCATAGTCGAGAGTTCCTTTGAAATACTTTAGTATCCTCTTCACCGCTGCTAGATGTGATACCTTTAACTTCTGCATGAATCTACTTACCATACCTACACTATATGCTAAGTCAGGCCTTGTATGACAAAGGTACCTCAATGACCCAATAAGTCTTTTGTATTGGGTTGGATCGACATCATCTTCATTTGCATCTTTCGACAGTTGCAGTCTTGGTTCTGCAGGTGTCGAAGTTGAGTTGCATTCTTCCATCTCAAACCTCTTGAGAATTTCTCCTGCATCTCTTCTTTGATACATCATCAAACCTCTACTTCTCTTGTAGAATTCGATGCCAAGGAAATATGAAATCTCACCCAAATTAGACATTTTGAATTCCTTGCTGAGATCACCTTTGAAGTCTTCGATCTCACTTTTGCAGCTACATGTTATCAACAAATCATCGACATAGAGACATAGTATAAGCAATTCACCATTGCTTCTTCTTACATATACTCCATGTTCAGTTATGCACTTCACAAGTTCCTTCTCCCTTATAAAACTATCAATTTTCTTATTCCAAGCACTTGGAGCTTGTTTCAATCCATACAGGGCTTTATGCAGCCTGTACACCTTTCTCTCTTCGTCATGTTTCACAAATTCAACTGGTTGTTTAACATAAACTTCTTCGTCTAAATTTCCATTTAGGAATGCACACTTCACGTCCATCTGACATATGTACCATCTGTTTATTTCTGCTAGACCAACAATCAACCTGATTGTTTCGATCCTAGCAACAGGTGTAAAAAATTCATCAAAGTCTATTCCTTCTTTCTGTAGAAATCCTTTCGCCACAAGCCTTGCTTTGTGTCGAGTTACTTCCCCTTTGGAATTCATTTTCACTTTGTATACCCACTTGACATCAATTTCCATCTTGCCTTGAGGAAATTCGACAAGTGACCAAGTGTTGTTGTCTTTGATAGACTTCACTTCTTCGTTCATTGCTTTCACCCACTTCAAATCCTTCAATGCTTCAGTTGCACTGACAGGTTCAACATCTGCATAGAAAGCATAATTTTCCAACTCACCTTGATTATCTATCACATCATCTAATGTAATCACACAATCTTGCCATCTTGCAGGCATGCGTCTTGTTCTTTGAGGTCTACTTGTACTTGGTTGATCTATAACTGTTGGTTCCTCTTGTCGAACTTCTCTTTCGACTTGAGTTTCTGGTTCTTCAAGTAGGATTCCCACTGAATCTTTCTTGACATTTTCATTCCAATCCCATTCTTTAAGATCATCTATGATCACGTCCCTGCTGATCACAGTCTGCTTGTTCACTGGGTCGAATAACTTGTAACCTTCTGTCGAATGATATCCAACTAGAATCGTTTGACTCGATTTGTCATCAACTTTTCTTCTCAACTGATCTGGCACATGTCTATGTGAAATAGATCCAAATACCTTCAGATGACTCAAGCTAGGCTTCACACCATACCAGCATTCTTCTAGAGTAATTCCTTTTAGCTTCTTCGTAGGACATCTGTTCAAAATGTATGTTGCATTCGACACAGCTTCACCCCAAAACTCTTTAGGTAAATTCTTGCCTTTCAACATATTTCTCACCATATTCATGATGGTTCGATTCTTCCTTTCTGCAATTCCATTATGCTGTGTAGTATAGGGTGGCACCACCTCATGCACAATCTTTCCTTTTCACATAACCTATCGAAGTATTTCGACACATACTCTCCACCACCATAAGTTCTCAAAACTTTGAGTTATCGACCACTTTGTCTTTCGATCATAGACTTAAACTTGGCAAATACCTCGATCACTTCACTTTTCTTCTTGATCAGGTAAGTCCACAACTTTCGACTGAAATCATCTATGAATGTAACAAAGTATTTGTTACCTCCCATCGAATCCACCTGGATTGGTCCACATACATCAGAGTATATGACTTCAAGAATAACCTTCGACTTGCTTCATGCATCCTTGCTGAAGTTATTCTTGTGTTGCTTCGCCTGCACACACTCCTCACATACCTCATTTGGAATGTCGATTTCTGGCAATCCTGAAACCATATTTCTTCTCTTCAAATCTATGATGTCTCTGAAGTTGAGATGGCCTAGTCGATAATGCCATATCCATTCATCTCTGCTAGCTGCAGTCGAAAGGCACTTGTGCTCCATCACATTTAGTTCTATCTTGAAGGTTCTATTTTGAGACATATGAGCCTTCAAGATTAATCTTCCATTTGCATCGACGACTCTCTTCATCTTATCTTCGATCGACACTTTATAATTTTTTTCGACCAACTTCCCTATACTGAGCAAATTGCTCTTCATGCCTGGTATGTACAACACGTTATAAATTACTGACCTCTTGCCATCTTTCATCATAATCATAACATCACCAATACCTTCAGCTGCTAGGGTATTGTCATTTGTGAATTTTACCATATTTTTCATTGAGGGATTTATGTTGACAAACCAGTCTTTCCTTCCAGACATATGTAATGAGCATCCTGAATCCAAGTACCATTGGTCCTTGAATCTATCTTCATCTCTTGTTGTGACCATCAGCATCATCTCTTCTTCTTCATGTTTTGCAAACTTTGCATCACTTTCTTGATTCTTTCGCTTTTCTGGACAATCACTCGAATAGTGACCATACTTCTGACAATCGTAACATTGAATGTGACTCTTATCAGGTTTACGACCACCATCTTTTCCTCTATTTGCAACACCACCTCTTTGGTTGACTTGGTATGATCTTCTCTGATTCGACACATTTCCTTCGTTCTGGTTTCCTCTACCAGTCGATTTATTATAGCCGCCTCTACCTCTGTCTAACCACTTTCCTTTGCCTTTGGTTTCTTCTGCTGAATTTGCCTGCAAAGCCACATAACTCTTCGACTTGCCTGCAACTCTTTCAGTCATTCTTTGTTCATGAGATTCAAGCGTCCCTTGAAGCTCTTCCTTTTTCAATTTTGACAAGTCTTTCCCCTCTTCTATAGCCACCACCACGTAGTCAAACTTAGAAGTCAAAGATCTCAAGATCTTCGAACAACAGCTCTTGTTGTTAATGTTTCTCCACATACCTTGATTTGATTCACTAGTTTTGTAACCCTAGTGAAGAAATCAGATATGCTCTCACTATCTTCCATCTTAATCAATTCATACGTTTTCTTGTGAGTTTGTAACCTCACTTCTTTCACCTTTTCTGCACCACCAAAAGACTTCTCAAGAACCTCCCAAGCTTCTTTTGCAGATTCTGAATCAGTCACTTTTTCAAAATTTTCTGGACTCAGACATTGATGAATTATAAAGAGTGATTTATAACTCAGCTTCTCAGATTCTGTGTGTTTCTTCTTTTCTTCTTCTTAAGCGTTTTCTCCAAGCGCTTCCAATCCATCCTTTACAAGATCCCAAAGACCTTGACACCTGAATAAAACTTTCATTTGTTTGCACCAATTCTCATAGTTGTCTACTTTCATAATTGGTAGGGTTGCTGGATAATTTGCATTCCCATAACTTGCCATCGTGAATTATTCTTCTTCCTCAATCGTTCTTGATCGATACTTCCATTTAATTGATTAAGCGAGCTCTTGATACCAGATGTTGGAAATCCACCAAATATCTATGATGAATTTCTACCAATCTTGATGTACAAGATTGATATCACCACACAATGACAATGAATTATGAGAAAAGAAAAGAAAAGAAAGAAGACAATTTTTTCTACAGAGTTTCTCTCTGCCCACAAATTATGGAAAACTTTATTAATCACTTGCAACTGCAAATTCTGTGATTACAGTGAATTGACTTCATTACAAAATTAGGGTTACTCCCTTTATATATAGATTTAGGTTAGCTTGCTCCCTAAGCCAAAATCCAAAACTATAAAAGCCCAAAATACCTATTTTTATATTAAATCAAATCTATCTATTTTAGATCTAAATCTAAATATAAATCTAAAATCAATCAAATATGTGTGTAGCTTGCTTCGATCCACAAGTTCTTCGATTGGGCAACTTCGCTTCGACACATACTATTTCGACACAATCGA